CACCCATTGATTAGAATAAACATAGTGGATTCTGTTGAGTGCTATTGCACCCCAAAATTTACCCTCTTGATTTAGGCTTATGTTTCATCATAAACATCATATTACATTGCATTCATATAATGTGATGGGATCAAAGTATTTTGGTTATCAAGTCTTCCTCAAGCTTTTGAAGATTGATTGTGTTGACAAGTTGCTCAAGTAGAGCCTTATTATCTAAACCCCTGGATCTTTCAAGCTCAAAGGTATCACATATATCAATATATCTTATCCATCTCATTGGATCATCAGAAGATTGAAGATTGTATTGATTATAAGGAGTATCACATCCTTTTGATTCATCAGTCAAAATTAGGGTTTTGGTTTGAAATTCTGGCAACAGATACTTAATGTCACAGTGAATGTTATGACACCGTATCTGACAACTTGTACACACACCAAACAGAATTTAAAAGACAGTAAAGAACACAATCAATTGTTAACCCAGTTCAGTGTATAACAACACCTACTCTGGGGGCTACCAAGCCAGGGAGGAAATTCACAATAAGAGGTATTAATTTAGGAATAAACCAACCAGTTTATCTCCTTCACTTAAGACCTACCCAATGCAACTTCAATCTAAGTCCTACTTAAACCTGAGTTCCTACTCACTCCCCCTCAATCACAGCAGTGATACTAATCTACTGATTAATAAGATTATGAAGACATTCTTCAATACACACGCTTGATTTTGCTTCAAAGCTTTAATCAAGAGACACAACACTCGTGCTTCAAAGCTTTGAGTGATAAACAACCCTTACAACTAAATCCTACTCCAAGTCACTTATCTAGTGATAATTGCTTGGCTCACAGTAGTTACAACTATACAATGCCTTATTGATCTTCTCTCCAAGCGCTGCACACCATTAGGCTTCATGAGAAATATATAAGCAGTCTATTCTTCATTTAGGGCTTCCATAAAAATAGTTAGGGTTAACCAAAGTTAACCTAAAGACTTGGTCTTGGGCTTTCATCATAACAGATTAGGGTTAAGCAAGGTTAACCTAAATATCCATGTGAGCATCTGATCTAGTCAATATACTTCAACTCAGAATAGCACACCAGATTCCTGAAAAATCTCTGGAACAATAAATCTGCACAACAACTTGATCAGTACAGGATGTCTTAACATTGGTTATGACATCATGTATCTTGCTCACTGATTTTGGTAGAATTCAGTATATATGATCATAGCTTAATCATCATGATATTCACTCATACTGAGTTGTTCCTGTAGAACATTCCTTCTGCAGAATTTGACTTTATCCCAGAATATTATGACATCAGTCATGACATCCGCAAATCTGGTTTTACGAAAAATTAATGCCAACAAGCAAACACTTACAAACTCCCCCTTTGGCAAATTTTTGGCTAAAACCCCTAAACAATCAGAAATTAGAATGCAGCAAAATTTTTAATAACAGCTACCAATATCCAATTCTACCAAAATTACCACAATTACTTCTCCCCCTTTTTAGCCATAAAGAGGCCAAAGGATTTAGTACTTCAAGTTATACAGTCATCAAAAGGAAATTCAAAATACACAGAAACAGAGAGAAAGTATCAAAGCAGCAGCAAGTTCCAGCATCAATCTTTACAATGCAGCAAACTCAGACCTTTAGGTACTGTCATCCCCTGAGGAAGCACTATTTTCAGCAGCATCTTCTGGTGAGCTTTTTGCGGAACCATCATGTTGTTCTTCATCAGCATCTTCTTCCCTCATTTGTTCTTCATTCTCCTCTTGTTCCAGACTAGTAATCAGCTCTTCAAGAGTCCTTTTTCTTGCATCAAGCTCTCTGCAGGTTTCTTTTAGAACAGCTATAACATCAGCTTTCTTGGAATGAGCTTTGACATTTGATGTCTCGGCAGATGTCATAACAATGTCAGGGACATGAGTTCCCTGAAACAGCTTATAGTGAAAACCAAGTGCATGAGCTCTTTTGCACACAGAGTCCTTTTCAACCAGAATATCAGGATACTGATCAATGATTATACCACACAAGAGAGAGGGAAAAGCAATAGGGCCTTTAATAGCACAGCTCTCAGCATGTTTCATTGTTTGATCAAAGATGTAGTTGCCATAATCAAAGTTTGTTCTGGTTCCAACAGCATAGATAAATCTTCCCAAACCAGTGGAGATGGTGGATTTGTGGTTGGTGGGAACCCAGTTAGCTGCACCAATTTTGTGCAGTATGGCAAACTTCATACTCAGCTTGCTTGCAGTTAGCTTCCCTTTCAAGGGCCAGTGCTTGACTTGCTTGGTAGTGATGGTTTGACAAACCTGGTTGTCAGTAACTTCAAGCTCAGGTTGAGCATCATCGGGCCTTCCTAGGTATTTGTTTATCACAGTAGGGGAGAAATTTACCTTCCTTCCTCTCACATAAACACTCTTAAAATCAGCTGACTTTCCATCAGCACAACCACCAGACAAATTTACTATGAATTCTTTGAAAAGAATCTCATAGCAGTTGGAAAACTTGACCACTGTTTTCATCAGGCCAGCAGCCTTGATGAGATTCATGACTTCCTTACACTCAATAGCACTTCTGTTCAGCTCCCTCTCTAAGGCAATCCTTTTCAGAAACACATACTTCCACCTGCTTGCATTTTCTGGATGGTGAAAGGAGATGTTGTCAATGGCAACTTCAGGAACCTTAGGCAGTTTGTTAGAAGAGGGTTTCTTCCTGAGAGGAATGTCTGGAACATTGCTCTCAACATCAAAAACAAAGTCTGATTCTTCATCAGATTCAGAGGGTTCAGGAGCCTTTCTTTTCTTGACTATAGGTTGTCTCAAGGGTTTTGAGAGACTACCAACAGATACCCTAGCTTTTACCTTACCTTTCCCTTTTGAAGTTCCAGCTTTTTGATCCTTCTCAGCTTCTTCTCTAGCCTTGTTCTCAGGCCTAGCTTTCTCATGAACAACTTCAGTAGCCTTCTCTTTGGAGGGGATTTGGGCAGCACTCTGCTTTTCTTTTCTACTCATCATCCTTCTAGCTATGCTAGGGTTGATATTAGAAATTAAATCATTGTCAGAAAATTCTTCATCAACATCAATGACAGGAGGTTCAACAGCCTTGTCAGTAGGGGTTTGGTGATCATCAGGTTTCTCTGGAGATTTCTCAATGTTGTCATCGGATGTCTCAACATTCTGAGTGACATTGGGATCACTTTCTAAATTAGGGCTAGCAGTTGCTTGGTTCAATGGTACAGATATACCAGGAACAGAGTGATTCTCATTAAGAATCCTAGTGACTAGTCTGGCAATATCTTGATGCACATAAGCAGAACCTTCCATATTCTCTATCTCTGGAGGAACAGAAGATGATGGTTGAGAAGAATTACCAGAGGGAGAAGCTTGTGATCTTCTTGCATGTATGGTTCGCAGCTTCTTGACCTTAGTAGGATCAGCTGCCATTTCACGAAGTGGAGTTACCTCAAGAACATCAGCATCCATGGAGTTCACGATTGCCCTAGGTTTGGTGTCAGTGGGTGAGGAAGATGTAGTTTCCTTTGATGAAGATGATGATGCAAATTGTTGAGACATCTTAAGAGATTGAAAAAACAAGAGACAGCGTGTGTGAAATCTTCTTTTGAGGGAATGGAGAGTGATGCAGCAAAATGAGAAGAGGGAGATATAAATATGTTTATTCCTCTTCTTAAACTTTTGGAAAGAAAGGGGGAAACAAATGATTAGCCAAATCAGAATGGACTTGATTAACATATCTCTTTCAACCCTTGTATTAAGCAAAATTAATTTCTACATCTCTTCATATTGGCAAATACCCAGCTTGCCCCTTAAACTTTCAAACTGACTAGCATCAAGTGCTTTGGTAAAAATGTCATCCAGTTGTAGTTCAGTGGCAACATGTTCCAGCTTAATCACCTTCTCCTCCACAAGATCTCTGATGAAGTGATGTCTAATGTCAATATGATTAGTCCTGTTGTGCTGTATAGGATTCTTGGATATGTTAATAGTACTCAAATTGTCCCAGTACAATATCATGACATCTTGTGTGACATTATACTCAGTCAGCATCTGTTTCATCCAGATCATTTGAGAACAGTTGCTGCCAGCTGCTATGTATTCAGCTTCAGCAGTAGATAGAGACACACAGTTTTGTTTCTTACTGAACCAAGAGACAAGATTATTTCCCAAAAAGAAGCATCCTCCAGAGGTGCTCTTTCTATCATCAGCACTACCAACCCAATCAGCATCACAATAACCAGACAGAATTGGTTCACATCCATGAGAGTACAACATGCCATAATTGTAAGTTCCACTCACATACTTCAGAATTCTTTTCACCTGGTTGATGTGACTTACTTTGGGTTCAGCCTGGTATCTTGCACATACTCCAACTGCAAAGGCAATGTCAGGTCTGCTGGATGTTAAGTATAGCAGACTTCCTATCATGCTTCTGTACAAGCTTTGATCCATATTTTCCCCACTTGTGTCTTTGGACAACTTTAAATGAGTAGGTATTCACTAAAAAATCATTGAATTGAATAAGGCTATTCGACTTAGGACTCCCTTACTAAGCTTTCAGGAAAGTCTGAGATCTCATTGTCTTCCTAAAGCCTTTTTAATCCTAAATGAACAGATATAAGATAGATGTAGAGACTCATCCTTGATTCCTATCGGTCAGGGCCCTTGAAGAACCCTCCACGAATTATCGATAGTAGTTTACTAATCCAAGGAAGGAGTGATGCAAAGAATTGCTTTCTTTCGTACCCATTCACAAGAAAGAAGGGTCTCAAGCAGTGTGTTCATGGTCACTCAGAACATAGGATTTTCGGCATCAAAGAGTGCGTGGGACAGGTGAGGGAAGGAAGGGCGGGATGAAGCAAGCAGCCAATCCCTTGCTGGTTAAAAATAGCAGCATCAGTATTAAAATTATAAACACCATGGGGTGGGGCCTGCCAATAGGTGTTTGCACAATTTGTAGCTTCTCCTTCTTATACTATTAGAAGAAGCTGATTGCTTTGTTCACCACATCCACAGGATAGTTCTGTATGTCCTGGAACAGCAGCAAATTTATATCACTCCATAAAGCCCATGCAACTACTAGCATCAGTTCCAGCTGCTCTTCATCAAGACACTTCCCCATCTCCTTCACCCAATCTGAGAGAGAGCCTGCATCTGTTGAGTATGAAGGGCTAATGGGCAGAGTAGCCAAATGCCATATGCCCAAGGGCAGCCCTTTAAAACATGAATGGTAGATTCAGGCTCCATTCCACATCTGTCACAAAGCAGGTCAACCTCCACCTTTCTTTTCCCATTTCACTCGTCTTGCATAAAAAAAACCACCTAAATCCACATCTAAAAGGGAGCCCGCGATCAAAATGCCTCCTCTATGAGATCTCGGTGCTACTGCCCAGCCCCACCTTCATTTTTTTCGAATTACGACTACTCGACTTTTTTTTTTCCTAAGCAAAGATCTAGGGGGGAGGAGCTCTTCTTGCGTAGTATACCTTTTCCCATAAATTCCAGGCTCGTCTTAATAACCAGTATAACCCCGGACCTTTTGAGCAAGCGCTATGGAGATAGCGAATGCTAGCGTTAGCCCAGCCATCCACATTGCAAGAGCTCTGGGTGTTCTTTCCATTGAAGCTTCACTGGCCACCTCCCTGGCTTGCTCACTGAGGTGGTCTACTAGCTGCCTGACTTCTGCGGAAGAACTTGCCGGTTCCCCGATTTGCGTTGCCTCCGCCAGCTGCTGTAACTCAGGGATGCTTGGGGGTCTCTGTGCTAGACAGTCCCACCATATCGCGCACCCAAGATATAGCGCCGGTAAGATTAAGCTGAGAACTTTCGTGACGTGCTGCCCTTGCCCCGACCCCGCCTGTGAGTGCTCTGTTGCCCCAGGTGTACCTGTAGCTCTCTGGTCTTGACCCACGGCCTAGGAGCTTTTTCTCTCGTAATGCCCCGTAGGCCTCTCTCGGGTGACCTAAGCATTTGGTACTTCGATCTTTTCTTAGGTTGGCGCCAGGTAAATAAGGGGCTCAAGAATCCATTCTCGTCGGCATCTTAGTGTATGCCACTCCTTCCGTTCCTAGGAAATGAGACCTGAGGCCAAAAATAAGTATATGAAAAATCACTAGATGACAATCGAAGTCCCTCTTTCTTTATTAAAAAAGGCTTTTTGCCCTCAACTTTGTGCCTTGAGGCTGGCTTTGAGGAAGAAAAGCTGCTGTCAACTCCAAAACCTCTGGGTCGGATCCTGCCCCACGTGGTCCTCACTTCAGGTCCCACATTTATCTTCCTTTGTTTGATTTCCCTCAAATCTCTTGCCCCTTCTAGGTCAGGTTCGTATTCAAACCTTCTTTCCAAATCAGTCTTTGTTCATTTCATTCGTGGTGCTCTTGGCACAATGGTCTAATCTGGAGGGGGGAAGTTGGATGTTTTTCTCTATTTATCATCACTACGGGCCATATGGCCAGATCGACGTTGTCAGAATAATAGTGTTCAGGGCCTGCCCCTTTTCAAAGTTTGAATGCCCCACCCATGTGATATCTGCTAAAGGCTTCGTCAGTGAGGTGATAATTTAAGCCATATCTCTCCTTCGGGGTTCCACCTCCTAAAGCGGTCAGCGGGCATAATTGAAAAAATAAAGGCATTATATGTTCTCGTTCTCGGTGCTCCGGTCAAGGTCAATTCTCTACTTGTCTTCACCTTCGGACATCAATAAAGCCGAACTGACTCGCTGGCTTTGCTTTGGTTGGGCTTTAAGAGGGCTTGACCTCTGATGTATGGAAGTACGTGGTTGAAGTGAATTCCTCGGAAATGCAGTCGGAGGGCAATCTATCTTTTGACCCGGTCTGGTATGTCTTTATTTTGCGCCAGCTTTCTTTCCTATCGGTTACGGTTCTATCGTCTCGGTCATCTCATTTTATGGTTTCAGCATATGGCTATGGTTCAGATACATACTAAATACTTTCTTTCGTGCTTTGATCTCAGCTGGTGGAAGTAGAGTGGCTATTGCTCCTGACCATTCAAAGTAGTCATTCTTGGAAAACAATGCATGGCATGCTCTGCGTTCATGTCCTCATATTTGTGATGCTCGCTTTCTTTTATTGCTTGGCAGCTTTTCCCAATCTTCCGGATAGTAACCGCGCCATTCATAGCCATCGGGGAAACAGCCCTCTTCCCTCGGTCCGTCTTGCTTCTGCTTGATGGAAACTAGGGTTCAAGTTCAGACTTTTAGAAATCAAGACATGGCGGGGGCAGGATTCGAACCTGCAATCTTCAGATCATGAGCCTGATGAGTTAACCAACTACTCTACCCCGCTTCTTCCCCTTCTCTTTATTTTATTTCACTATTCCCACCTAGGTCCCCGGCTTTGGTTGCTTGGCCGGGATAGAACCAGCGCTTAGTAAGTAAGCGGCGGTCTAACGACCCCCTAACCTAGGTTGGAGCTATGAAGCTTACCTTATTTATTAGAAAGTAATTTTTCATTTAAGCTTGCTGACTAGGGTTGGCAGCTCAATTATTCGCGACCCCATAACATAAGATAAAGTTGTTGAGTTCCTAAGCCACCATACCTGATTGCTTTGATCGAAGCTTAAACAGGGCCTGTGCTATCAGAGTGCTTTACTTTTTTTCGAGCGGTTTATCTTGTTTCGGTTGCCGATTGCTTTATTCTATGCGTAGATTGGTTAGACCCCGCTTTGACCCAGTCGTGAGACGAGCCGCAGGAAACAACTAGGTGTCAGCGGAAAGTAAGTCCTTGAAAGTTGGCAGATCGGCATGGGCGGTTAAACTAAAACTATTAGCTCCTCCGGTCACTCTTACAAAGCCTTATCCTTCATGTCTATCTTCCATGACAAGATGAATCTATTGCCTCCTCGCCTCACTTCCACTATAAGTTATTCTGTATGGGACAAACGCCAGTCACGCTCGTCATTGTCCACCGCACCACTAGTCACCCGACTCCGAATCCCATTTTAGAGATCATTCCTTCCTCTCTCTGCAATCAAACTAAAGCCCTAACGCTATAAAGCCTATAGCCTGCCTTAGTCTCGCGCATACGTTTTCTTGCTGGGTGAGGGCTTTAAGACCCTATTCACATAGCGTTCCTGACTTATAACATTTGAATTTATAAAAAAAAAATTAATTTGAAACGGGTATGGCTTTAACTTCATTCATTTTGACAAGGATAAAATCAATGGGAAGAGGTGATTCATGTTCAAGAGAGCTGCTTTGTAGGGAAATATTTAAATTATATATGGAATCCCATAATTTCCATTGAGCGGGTATATGAAATAAAAAAAGAAGACTAAAATTTAGAAAAGGTTTTCCAATAAACTCCCCAGACTATAGTAAAATGGAGGGAGATGAAGCTCAAGAACAAGCACTCAAACGAGGGATCCATGTAAAGCAGACCGGCAGCCAGAGATTCCAATAGGCAAGAACGGTCCACACCAGTATGGGCGCATGGGAGTACTCTCCCCTCAAAGTACGCCACCGGTTAGGTTTAACGTAAGATGGCTTTGTGTTGTGCGAGAGTGGCAAGAATCGGGTCAGATTTCGCCGGGACGCAGCTCGATTGCCTTTCGTGCAGAGGAACCTTCGACTAGGGTTCGTACGATGCCCAAAACCTTACAGTCCACAAGAGCTATTTCGAACAGCACTCTACGAGAATTGTTGGAGAATTGGATGTAACTCTATAAACTCCTATATTATCTCCTATCGCAGAATACCTAGTTTGAACTCCTACTCGAAATCGAAAGAAGGGAAGGTTAGTGGCACTTCTTTTTCACGCTTGAACTACGGGACAGACTAGCGGAAAAAAAGTTACATCCATACGGGAATAACCCCTGTAAGTCAACCCAGTTGTCTTAGGCTCAAATCCGCACTTTCGGGAATAGAATGCTTCTTTGACAGAGCTTTAAGCAATTGGACAAAAAGGTTCTGCACGTGAATCAGACTGGCTTTATCTCAGGATGTGGGATTACCGATGTCACGATTGGAATTAGGAAAGGAAGCCTCTGTCCCAACTTTCTTTCCAAACTTGTAAAAAAGGAAATTCCCACGGCTTCCGCGGAGAGACTCGGCTTGTGAGCTCCTTCTCCAATGGAACCTACTGTGTATACTCTTGCTTCACTGGAAGACTCGCTCGCTCTGTTGGTGTAGGTCTTACCTTTCTTGATCCCTTGGTTAGGCTAGCTAATTCAATTGATCTGATACCAAGATAACCCTTCAGATACCGTCCGATGTGCTTGATCTCTAGTCTGATCTTCCATCACTTGACAATGGGGATGGGGGCTAAGTAAGCCCCCGAGGAGATCATCACGCTACGTAAAGGGCTGTGAAAAGGAATCCCGCCTCTTCTTTCTGCCTTTCCCTTTCCTTTATGATTCTCTTTGTTTATTCTAACTTTTTACTTTTTGGCCTAGAATGTACGGTATCTGACTAGCATTTGCTGCGGCTGGTTTCCGTATTTGCGCTAAAGGTACTTGACCCCTCTTCATTCTTAGCTTCCATTCCAAAAACTGCACTCTTTCGGTCACCTTCCACAATGGGATTTCAGTCCGCTATCTCCGCATTGCTTCTGTAAACTCCGGTATAGTTCCCCTCCCCTTTAGTTCCATCAGTGGGTTCCTCCATTCTCTTATCGGTATTATTAGAATGTGTTGACTAGTTTCGCCTTCACCCCACTCTTTAATACGTGGGAATCTCCTCATCATCTGACTCCCCTTTTGGTACCATTATCTTTTGTGGGGGGATCACTTTATGGTTATAGCGCCGTGCGATGGGGTGGGAGTGGATGGACCACCGTCCCCGCCTACAGTAGGCAACAATGCCCCAGCACCTGTCATTGATGCTCCTGAAGTTCCCCCCGCGGCCCCAGAGATTCCCGTATTAACCCACCCCTTATTACCAGATAGTGAACGATAAAGCGAACTATATAGGCGCTTCTTGGTTAATACTATAGGGGAAGAGCCCAGCCTACGGCGGATTTCTGACACAATTCGTGTTCAGAGTCTGATTGAAAGACGGGAGAAGCTGCTAACAAGAGGTTAGCTGCACTTATCAATAGCAGTGGAGTCGCCCTTTGAAAGCGCTAATTCAATAGCAGTCTTCCGACTGAATAAATCTGAGTGTAGTGTGGTTAAGCGGTCAGAAGTTGTTCCGGATCCATTGCTACCATTAAAAGAATGGGGAGGAGAACTTTAATCTAGCTAGGGTACCGGGCAATAACAGTGAGAGGAAAGCGCTACGAGGACCCTCTTTAAGAGAGATAGAAAGCTAACCCTTAGATTCGGGAATAGGAAACTAGCAGTAAGGGTATTACGCTTCAAGAGAAGTGGAACTCACTCGAATAGAGAGAGTCTAGGCTCACTCACTGGTCAAGGGCTAGTATAGCAAAGAGGCTTTCAATTCCCGCAAAGCAAGTGGGAATTTCCGTGAGCATTAAACTCCTGTATGGTCTTTACCGCTTGGGAACCTAAAAGCTGCTCTATGGCTCGCTGGAGTTAAATCAAGCTATTGATCATATTAAGCCTTCTTCGGCTGATGAAAGTACTAACTTCCCTTGAGACTGAGATTTAAGTTTTCAGTTCAATTGTCATATATTCTTCCCCTGAATTGAAAGGCATTCTGTATCTTTATGAAGTTAACTAAATCGATTAGGTCATACTACTGGTCGGGTACTTAAACTTAAGATAAGAATCGGCTCTGTCGCTTCTAGCTTGCCTACCCGCAAACCCTGCCCTTAGGACTAGGTTGGAAACTCCCAAGAGGATGGGGCTTGCTCACTCGCTTTCAAGACGGAAGAATGAAAGTTTTTTCCTCCGGTGATATTTTAGCTCTACTGCATCCGGGACTTTATTTCATTAGAGAGCTAGTGGCTCCTGTGAAGGTTGGTAGTTCCCCATCTATCAGCCATAGATCTGGCTGTTTTCCTCCCGTACCCTTATCGGGATTAAGGAAAGCCGGTTTCCATCCTTTGTCAGGACCCGAAAACCTAGTTACCAACCTCTCTTGCATTTTACTTTTTTGGAGTCGTTTTCTATACTATATTTTTTTCAATGTTATAAATCATTAGCATCATCTATGAGTGCATCTGCTAGGTTCCCATTCCTTCTCAACAACTTGAGAGATTAAGTTCATCTGCGGACCAGTAACAGCCCCTACCTGTTAGCAACTATGGAGCTAATGAACCTTTGCCTTTCTTTCTTATCTTTCTATCCCTGCCTGTATCCTATCCTTAGAGCTCCCCTTTGCGTTGATTATAGGCCTTTTCTTTGCCCTTTGGGAGAGGTAAGGTATAGAGCTTGAATCCCCCAACTGACATCTTATTCTCCATTGGGCATCCATCCTCATGGCATCTACTTTTTTAAATAAAAGAGAAAAAGCTTTTGCCGCTCTTTCCTTGGCTTTCTTTCGCGTACGTGTGCTCGTCTATCCTTTAATAGAAAGAAGCAATTTCTCTGTTCGAAATCAAGCTACAGGCCATCAAAGATGGCGGTAGAACAGCTAGCAAGAGGTGCCCAGGTACCGTTAACAAGCTCATGAATTTAACTTTCAAGCGAACCCCATGCCTTATGGTTTGAGAGTCCGTTTGATTATAAGCCTTTAGAATGGTTATATATACTTTAGAAAAGGGCTATCTCTCTCTAGCTTTCCTTTCTTGCTTGCTTGCTTTCTAGCCCCGATGCCAATGCCCTTTCTGTTCTCGAGTCTTTGCAATCTTCTGCCATTCCTCGACTTTGAAATGGTTAGACCACTGTCTTCGAGTCCGGTTGAGAAATAGCGGATTTGAGTACCGGGAAGTAAGTATGAGTAAGGTCCGGGTCTGGTTGAGTAACTCAGGATAGAGAGAGTCCTTCATTTCTAAAGTATGAATAAATAGTAGACATGTAGCTGCCTTTTAGGTATTGAATCCCTGGCCGGGAAGCGTGAACGATAACATGAGTCTTGATTGGCAGTCGCTCTTCTGTATTTTTAATCTTCAGAGATACCCTCAGAGTTCTGTCCTGAATGGGAAGGTTTTTGAGTCAAGTCAAGAAGAAGAAAAAGACAGTCCCACAAAGGAATCTTGGACAATGGGCACAAGTCTTTATTAAAGAATTAGTATCTCCATTATAATAAGCATTTCTATCAGCTCTGCTCTTTTGTCTCCTGAATATCATCTCGAGACCCAAACTACGAGATCCGGATTGGAACCAACGCATATTGATTCAAAGCTTATGGCCCTTCAATACAACCCCCCTCTGTATAAAACCTTAAGTGAGCGGTGCGAGTCTATAATCGCTTGGCTGACTCGCTAGCCCTTATGGAATAAATACTCAGCCGCTCTAGTACACATGCTAGTACACCGAAGCACAGAGTCGCTTGTCATCGAGAGATTGGACATCCCAGCCACAGCACAGAGAGCCCTTCCGTCGAACGGGACTCATTCATCTTCTTGGATGAAGACTATCGAGAGTTGGAACATGATGAACTATCACCAGTCAAGATTACGAGGACGATGGGAACCTTGGTATTATGATTTCTACAATTACCTCAAGGACGGGTTCATATCAGAGTACGCCACTCGTGGTCAGAGGAGAGCCTGGAGGAGAACTTGCCCGACGATTTGTGATCTTGGGAGATGTCCTTTACAAAAGGTCCTTCAAGGGGTACTCGCCCTTCCTTAGACTTAATAGGAAGAAGGAGCGCACATTGTTGAACAAGCTCATTCAAGAGGCAAGGCCCCCCTAAAAAAAGCGTACCTTCGAAGGCATGATTGCTGCGATCAGGAGCTGTTTAACATAATTTAGAACAGGAGATCATAAGATTTTGTGGAGGATAAAGTCCAAAGTGAACCAACACTGGGATCTGATCATAGCCGCTGTGAGGATGCAAAGGCGATAGTTTTTCGATTCGGCAAACATGAGATGTGTCCCACACTTTAAGAAGTACATCGAATTTTTTAGATATCCCGTAATGTCCTTTTTGTACCTAGAGAAGGACGACCTCGAGAGAGCAGACGACCGGTAGAGTAGGTGCTCCATATCGTTCCTGCTGCGTAGGTCTAAGGTAATTAACAGTGCTAGCAGAGAATCAGTAGGCCCTCACCCTTCTCTAATAGGGGCAGTGCCACCTATAGAACGGGAATGTTCATCCTCTCTTAAAGTCCTTTAGGGATTTAGAGTCGGGAATAGAGCTGTGGCAAGCAATATAGATCGCCCCTTACGCTCTCTCTAAAAAAAGCCCTTCTTAGTAAAGCTTCGGCCCTATGGAGAAAAGGGAAGTGCAGATCTGGAGTGTTTGGACGAGAAAGAAAGGCTTTGCAGCAAGCTGAGTTGTACCGCAATTTGATTTTCCGGGCATACGAGAAAAGAGTCCAGCCGAGCATATTTGTTTGCTAGTTTCTTGATCCCGGAAATCTTGTACTCAGAGTCACGGATAAAGTTGACTACCCAGCGACGGAGTGGATGACCCCCCGTTCTTTCTAGTGGGTTTTATCCCGTCCCTTTTGGGACCATTCACCCTTTTCCAAGCATAGGTAGAACCCCTCTTTCCCATACACAACGATGGTTCCAAGCAAGATGAGTAGTTTATAGTCGACTCAATATCAACGAAACCCCCCCATTTTATATTTTTAGTACCGATGGTCTTGTAGTGCACCCTTCATCGAAAGAGTAGGCGGTTGAAAGACCCACCTCTGAATAAACCTTTAGGTTGGGAGATATCAAAGGGGAACCTCGCCTAGCTTATCTGTCCCTGTATTATTCAACTCATCTGTCCACTTATCTTGTTCAAAGCAGAAGGAAGATTTGAATCCTTTCTTTCGAGGGTAATCCGCCAGTCTCTAGACTGGAAAAGATTAAATCCACTTCTTGACCAGCTTCTTAGGTGCTGCTTAGGCCTGCTTCTATGTCATGTAACTTCTAAGGCTTCTCACAGGCATTTGCTTTAAAGGGGCTTGTTGGCCCCCTTCTGAGTTAGCTCTTTATGTCTGCTTTAAGCTTCGTCGGACATTTTTTGGCCCGTAGCTTACAACATCTTATGAGAAGGGCCTGTAGCTCGATACAATTGTTGGCCAGTTGCTTACTTGCGTACAGGCAGACGTATTCAGCCATTCCCATCCCTCATCAGGGCCCAGCTTGACAAAGATTTTGATGTGGATGAGAGGGGGAGCATCTTTTTTAGATATCCCCGCAATTAGAGCTATTAGATGAGAAGAGACTTCGCGCCATGGAACATGTCCAAGTCTACCAGAAAATTCCAGTGCATTCCAAAATCAGGTAATATAGATAAAGTTCAACATAGGGGAGAAAGTCTTGAAAAAGATTATTTCCGGACGTGAGCCTCATCCAAGATGGAAACTCCATTTTGTGCTCGCTCTCTTCTGTCATGCGCATCATGGCTGGGTGAGTTGGCCCATTGCGAATTCTTCCAATCTGGTCATGCACTTTTTTAAGATGCGGAACCTGGGAGCTTTCCTCTTCAAAATAGGGGTAAAATTTTCGTAGGGGGGTAAGGAAGGTGCCGAGATCGTAATAGAAAGGAGTTGATAGTCCCGTCTGCTAGGCTTTTCCGAACTTCCCTTCTTCTGCCCGTTAAATCCTTTTCTTCTGCTTTTTCCCAACGATATATCCCCATTCTTAAAAAAAAAGAAAGCATATATTAGTTCCAGAGAATCATCCGAACATTCTGAGATATGGTTGTCAAATGGGAGAAGAGGAACGAGAGGCGTCCCTAAGCTTTCCGGCTCACTAGTAAGTGACGAGGGGTTTGAATTTCATTCTCAGAACCTCCTTCGAATTACAGAACTGGAGGGGGTCTCACAGGCATCTCTCTTCGAGCGGCAGTGCAAGCTCGGATGGTGTTAGCGCTGGCAGAAGGTCCGAAGATTCATTTCAAAAAATAGGAATGTCAGAGCAGTTAGTCCGCATGTCCCTAACTACCTTGTTCCTGATTGGATTGCTTTCTTAGTGTGGCATCTTTTTGTTCGCTGTCCACTAGTGAGATT